TTATGAACAAATCCTCAGTAGCACAGGAACTAGCAGAAAGAATCAACAACTGGGATCTCATCTTATTAAAAAGCGTCTGTGGGCTGGGGATTTAGCTCAGTGGTTTGGGTGCCTGTCTCGCAAGTACAAGGTCCTGAGTTCAATCCCCGGTACCAAAAAAAAAAAAAAAAAAAAAAAAAAAAAAAAAAAAAAAAGCTTCTGCACTGCAAAAGAAACCATCAACAGAACTAAGAGAAAACCCACAATGAGGGAAAAAATTTTTACCAGTTGCTCCTCAAAGGACTATTATCTAGAATATATGAAGAGCTCAAAACAATCAGCCCCCCAAAGATAAAGACCCAGTTCATAAATGGGCATCTGAAATGAACAGACATTTCTCAAAGAAGCCAAAGCAGCGAGTAAATATATGAAAAAAAATGTTCCACATCACTGGTCATTTGAGATGCACATGAGAACAACACTGAGATTCCACCTCACCCCCCAAAGAATGGCTGCTATCAAGGAATCAACCAATAGCAAATGTTGGTGGGGTTGTGGGGAGAAAGGAACCCTTCTCCATTGTTGGTGGGAGTGCAGACTGGTGCAACCACTATGAAATCAATATGGAGATACCTCAAAGAGCTGGGACTAGAGGTTCCATTTGACCCAGCCATCCCTCTGCTGGGCATCTTTCCAAAAGAATTAAAAGAATCATATCACAGTGACATATGTGCATCTATGTTTATAGCAGCAGAGTTTGTAATAGCTAAAACATGGAAACAGCCCATTTGCCCATCAGTTGGAAACTGGATAAAGAAGATGTGGTTTTTCTATAAAATGGAATACTACTCAGCCATAAAGAATGAGAAATTAGTTTCTCAACTATAATATGTAACTTTGTTTTATTTATAATTACATTATTTCAAAAATATAAGAAAATGAGAAAGAACATAATGTTTGCAGATCATATCAAATTAATGTATTTTGATTAGTCTGTATTACATAAGTTCTTGTTTATTTCATATCATTTTTTTGCTGTCATATAAATGCATATTTGAAATTTTTATTCAGTATCTTCATTTCTTATTATCATGTATGTTTGCAATCTTTAATAAAAAGAATGAGAAGGGGCTGGGGATTTAGCTCAGCAGTTCGGTGGCCTGCCTTGCAAGCGCAAGGACCTGAGTTCAAAGCCCCGGTACCAAAATAAAAAGAATGAGAAATTAGAGTCAATCATAAGAAAATGGATACATTTTGAGGATATACTCCTAAGTGAAATAAATAAGTCACACATGTGTAAATACTGAATAGTTTCTCTGGTGTGAAAACTATACTAGTTCACAAGATCCTAATGAGATAATTAACAATGTGAAATAGGAAGAAAAGGGTTAAAGGTGTAGGGGAAGTGGGAAGAGTAGGGGGAAGGGAATAAGGGAAAAGAAAAAACTATGAAAAAATGGAAATAAAGTGTCTGTAAATGGGGAGGGGAGGAGAGGGTGAAGGGATGGAAGGGACAAGGGGAAAAATGAGAACCAAGACCTGTCATGTAAGATCCAAGTAATGAATGTATCTGTACTGTATACCTAGAATGTACCAATAAACTCAGTAAAAAGAAAAAAAAAGATGTGGGTTTTCTATGAAATGGAATATTACTCAGCCATAAAGAATGATTAATTATAGTCATTCATAGGAAAATGGATGCATATTGAGAACATACTTTTAAGTGAAATAAGTCACACGTGTAGATACTGAATAGTTTCTCTGGTGTGAAAAACTATAATCGTAAATAAGATCCTAGTGGTATGGTTGGCAATGTGAAATAGGAAGAAAAGGGGAAGTGGGAAGGGTAGGGGAAAGGAAATAAGGGAAAAGAAAAAAATCTGAGAAAATGAAAAATGGAAATAAAGTTTTTGTAAATCGGGAAGGGAGGAGGGGGTGAAGGGAGAGCAGGGACAAGGGGAAAAAATGAGAACCAAGACCTGTCATGTAAAGGTACAAGATCCCAATGATGAATGTAACTGTACTGTATACCTAAAATGTACCGATAAACTCAATGAGGAAAAAAAAAGAATAGGGGCCTTCTTAGGTCTTCTAGCTAATCCTGACTGGAAGGAGTTAAAAACAAAATTTACTAAACAAATTCCCATGGGGAGCAAGTCAAGGATGGGGATGGAGAAAGAGAGAAAAATCAGATAAAGAAAGGCATCAAATGGCCTTGGGACTTGTGCCAAGAGACCAGAGAAAGAGCTGACAACTGGGACACAGAGAGAAAGCCAGGTGCACAAATGATAAGCCACCCACCCCACCTCCAAAAGAATACAGGAGAAGCAAGGAGGAGGGTGGTTGACTAACTTTACGGCAGTATGTACTCACACCTGTGCACTAACATATATGTGTGTCTTCACTCTAGAGTCACTATATTATTCCCTCTAGGCTCATTATAGAGTACAATAGATACCCATATGCCCCCTTACTCTAAGTTAACCATGAATAAAATATCCCCTTGCCAACTAGCCACTCATCCCAAAGATAAGGCCGTAAAAGGTAGGGCAAGGACAAATAGAAAGAAACTATACTAGATCACCAGAAGAAATGATGATAGGCAGAGGTGTCTGGAAGCCAGTCAAGTTATGGCAAGTTTTGGGTGGCAGGGAAGGGTCTCTGATCTTCCCTTTAAAAGCAATCCTTAACAAAGGACCAATGGTCCTCCATCTTTCTGGAGCCCCCAACCCTAATTCTTCCTTACCAGGGTACCTATCTATCTTCTCCTTTCCTCCCCTTCCTTTTCCTCTTTACAAATAAAGTATCTTCCTTTTGTTAAATTTTGTCCCTCTAAAAATTTTTTACTGGGGCTGTTTACAATCCCAGTGGGCTGCTGAGACAACAGAGCAGCAGTGTTGGCCCCCCAGATGTGACCAGTCATCTAACACGGTGGTTCTCTCCTGGGGACATTTGGCAGTGTCTGGAGATATTTCTGATTGTCACAAATGAGGGAGAGAGGCAGTGATGTTTGCATCTGGTGGGCAAAGGCCAGGGATTCTGCTAAACATCCTACTGTAACAGGAATTAGTGGGACAGAAGTTAGGATTCTATTAGGTAGTAAGGACAGCAGCCCCAAAATGGAGTCTGCTTAGGTCTGACTCTCCAGGAATCTTAACAAAAACATCTGCCAGGTGTCCTTCAGCTTCCTTGCACCACGCCCTCCCCCAGATATGATCAGGCAGGCTGTTGGCTCAAAGGCGCATGGTTCCTGCATGCATACTGCATAGATTGGACTCCAAGAAATATGTAATCTATAGGGTAGAGATTATATTGCTTACACAACAGCCAAAACTCCCTTCTAAACCCCTTAAAAACCTCTAGAAAAAGAGCCTTTGTGAGTATCCGAGTCAGAACTCCTGGTCAGCTAGTGAGAGTTTTACTTCCTTTCTTTTGTATTTTTTTCTTCTTTGTATCTTTCACTTTACCTTCATATCTTTTAAATAAATTTGTTGTACCCTTCCTCCTCCTCCATGTAGCAGTTTTATTCTTCATCACTCTAGGACATTGCTGGTTGTCAAAACTGGGGCAGAGAGGCAGCGATATCTGTGTCTAGTGAGCAGAGGCCAGGGATGCTGTTAATCAGCCTGCAGTGCACAATGCAACTCTAGCCCCAGCACAAAACGTCAATAGAGCTGAGGCTCAGAAACTCAATGACAGATATACTTTTCAGAGGTAAACTGAGAGACGATGGGGCACTCAAAGTTGTTTTTCTTTCTGCTTACAATATTTTGCAAGGTACACAATCAG